GCAATCCTCTTGCCTTAGCTTTCCAAGTAGCTGGGAATATAGGCATGTACCACCATGCTTGGGTAATTTTTCTGTTTTTGTAGAGATGGGGTCTCATTCTTTCTCGCTTAGCCTGGTCTCTAACTCCTGGCCCCAAGTAATCCTGCCTTGGCCTTCCAAAGTGCTAGGATTATAAGCGTAAGCTACTGGGCTTGGCCTCTTTCTCTTAAATTCTTCTATATTTTCACATTTAAGTTAATTTGATTTTTCATAAGAGTAGCAACATGTTCTTTTCAAAAGTTGCTTTCAAATGATTTTTTTTTCCTGGAGGAATATACTATAAAAAGTACCAGAGGTTAGTAGCTTTGGGGGCAAGTTCATCTCTTGCCTTAAAAATCCTGCCACTGATTTAGTTGAACATGCGCTTACATCTCCTTATCTAGTAAGAAAAAGGTACTGTAATGTCATTAATAAATAATTGAAATACATTTGATTGCTTTTAATAACTTTATATAAAAGAGCAGATTTTTATACTCACTTCAGACATTCTCTTCTCTGTTTAATTGTTATTTACTGACATGTGGTTTGTGAGGTCAGGAATTCTGTCCGTCTTTCTTCCTTACTATATCCCCAGCATCTTGCTTGATGTTTGGTGAATCAAACGAACACATGATTGAAGGAACGCCTACTGTTGTTGGAGTTACACGAGATCATAAGAAATTTCACCACTTTTGCTTATAAAAGCAGCAACGTCACATGGTTCAACCTTAACATAAATGAAGTGCTGGAGATAATAATGATTTTTATGCTCTGCTTCTCAGAGACAGTGTTAATGGATAGTGTGTTTACACAGGTTGAAGGTATGAGCTCCTAAGTCACACTGGGAGCACAGCCTGGTCTCCTCATTTCTGACCTGTGTGACAATACAGTGTCCATTCTCTGTAAAGTTGAGGTGACAGTTCGCAGAGCTAAGGTGGGTGAGATATTTCAGGTGAAATGGTCTCCAAATTGCATAGTACCTAGTAGCAAACGTGCCATACATATTGGGTATTGTTTCTGCTGGTAATATGATAGAAAATTTTGTATGTGCCAAGTTCTAGGGTATCACCTTTGCGTTCTGTGATTTGGCGGCCTAGTGAGGAAGGTAAAAGTTGCAGTGTGATCTTTAAGTTCTCCAGAGACAGGAGTATTCTGGAAGCTGGGAAACAGGGACGCTGGCTCCAGAATGGAGGTCATGGAAATCTTCCTGGGGAAGGCTGTCTCTGACCCGAGAACTAAAGAACAAGTAGTACTCGGACAAGAGTAGATGGGTTGGGACAGGGATGGAAGTGGGGACGGTGTTGGGAGACAAAGTATGTAGCACATGCAAAGACCTGGGTGTGAGAGAAGGTAAGGCTTTCCCTTTCGGGAATTGTTTGGTTTATAAGAGGAGTGTAGAAGAGACCAACAGATGTGCATGGAGACTTAGTAGGCTGAGGTCGGGTCTGGAAGATTTGTGCTTAAGAAAGATCATACACAAGTGGTGAGAATGAAATGGGTTAGGACAAGATGAGAAAGAAGACACAGCCAAGAAGTTTTTGGTGCAGCAAACTGTGGGAGAGATGCCTGGGTGACAGCTGTGGCAGTGGAATGAGAAACTTGGAAAATCCACATTTTGGAGGGACCGAAGATCTGTCACTTGCCACTTGCCAAGGGATTTGTTAATCACAGCGTGATGTCTAAACTGTGCAAGTATGTTGTAAATTCTAGTTGTTGAACTTGCAATGAAAGGTTGAGCCTACAAAACAGATAACAACCACATTTGGTCTTACTTCAGAACCCCTTTTATTGCTTGCAAAGGTTACTATGGACTGTTTTTTTGGCATTCTGTGGGTAATATTGCACTGTTTTTTTTTTTATCTATGATTAAAAATTTTCAAAGGTATTAAATAAAACAGAAAAGGAATCCTGGTCTTTTAGGAGCCTTAGGATCTTGAAATCAGAGTAAAGAGTCAAATACCAGAACCAAAGAAACAGTCAACAAAATTACACTGCATAGGAATGCTAGTTTCACCTTTGTTTTGATAGCTAACCAAGTTGATGGGGAGAGCCTCCCTTTGTTCTCGTAATCCTTGAGACTACACTGTTGTAAGATGTTATACTGCTCCTAGTAGATAAGACAAACCAGGGCCAATCATTTGACAAATATATATTGAGCACCCTCTAGAAATTAGGTGTAAGGCAATGGGCAGAGTGGATGCTATGTCTGCTATTATGGAGCCTACATTCTACAAGATGAGATGAGATAAAATGGAATGTTGTCTTGATGAAATGGTAAAAATATTTTTTTCTGCTTCAAGTCCTTTTTTAGAATAGGTGGCAGAATAGAACAATACATATATTGTTCTATATCTATACAAAATATATATTTGTATGTTTACATATCTTTCTGACTTTTCTGTATTATATGAGAGACAGTATAGAAGTATTACATGAGTTAAAATTTGAAATGTGCTTAAGACATATTTAATACTTAATTTATGCTCACTGTTGTTATTTTATATTATGTGGTCCTTGACTCATTTTGCCATTTTCTTACTCTTATGGATGACTACCTCTAGATTATCTCCCAAATCCCATAGATAAGCTGCGTCCAGAGCCAGGCTGCCATCAGTGCCTTGCCTGGACCACAGCGGCAGCTTCCTCCCTGGTCCCTGTGCCCTTCCTCCTTTTACCCCGCCCATTCTCCACTTTGTAGCCAGAGTAAAATTTATGCTCTTGTATTAGTTTCTTATTGCTGCTGTTAAAATTATGACAAATTGAATGGCTTAAAACCACATATTATCTTAATTTTACAGGTTGAAGTCTGAATTGAGTTTCACTGGGCTATAATCATGGTTGTTGGCAACGCCGTCTGCATTCCTTCTGCAGGAGCTGGGTGGGGGCGTGCCTTGTTTTTCTCCAAATTCTAGAGGCCATTCACATTCTTGGGCTTGGGGCCCTGTGTTAATCTGACACCTGCATCTCTCATCACATCTCCTTCTTTGACCCTCCTTTCTCCTTCTTGCATTTATAAGGACCCTTTTGACTATGTTGGATCCACTAGATAATCTAGGATAATTTCCCCATCTCAAAATCCTTCATTTAGTCACATCTGCAGAAATTCCCTTCCCATATATTAGGAAGTGGATATATTGTAGGGTCCATTACTCTGGCTACCGAGGACTCCTTCCTATTATGTCATAGAATGGTGCCTAGAAAATGGGAAAGTACTCTTTTATTTATTAGTATGAATATGCTCACCAGCTTAAAGCTTTTCTATGGCTGCCTGTCGTTTTTAAGATTAAAGGTTAAAACTTTGAAAAGGTTGCTGAACCCCTGCTTAGGCCTCCAGCCTCTTCATTGGTTCCTCTCCTTGCCCAGGGAACTCCAGCTCCACTTCCTCCTAGCCCTTGAGGACTCTACCATGGCCTCTGTTTGGACCAACCCTCTCTCTCCCTCCAAGCCCCTTTGTTTGCTTACCTGACATCTACTGCTTGGATCTCAGTGTAAACTTCCCTCCCTTGGGCAATACCCTCTCGGCCTTCTCCATACTGGTCAGCAAGTCAGTGTACGTGCTGTCCTAGACCCTAGACTTCTCCTTCATTGCACTTGACTGTGGCTTGCAGTTGATTGGTATTTAATTTGCTTTATGTCTGACTGTAAGCTCTGTGAGGGCAGTGATGGCCTATTTCTATTGTACCCTCAATACTGAACATTTATTCACTGCTTGCTAAATATTTATTAAAGGAATAGACTTAAAATGAAAAGGCAGTGCACCTATAAAGTAGCTCTTGGTTTTGTTCACCAGAATAGTATTGTTATAGCTACAGAAAGAATAGGGTTTTGGGTTGCAAGAAGGATTTGTTCAATAACAGAAGTGGGAAATTGTGAATAACTGAGTGATACAACGCAATATTGATTTTCAATTCTTAGGTTAAAAAAAGTAGAAAGTAATTTTTATTCAGTAGTTTTAAGGCCTTGTATCTCCTTAAAATATTTTCAAGACTTAACTCGTCTAACATGAACATATAGGATCTCATAGGCTAAGAATTTCATTAAAAATTAAGTGACTTTATCAGAGTGCATATCATGGTCTCTTCAGTATTTAAAGGTAATTGTCCTGCTTGGGGCCTGCAGCAGTGGGACAGTGACTGTACAGTGACACCTGCCTCCTTTAGCCCTGGTGTTCAAGGGAAATCTTCCAGATTTCAGTGCAGTCGCTGTTGGATAGTGCGGACGACTTGCAGTCCAGTGTGTCACCAGCTCAAAAATATGACTCAGGAGAGCAATTCCTTTACTATTTTATTCAATTGTAAGCATTTCCATTTTACTTAAACCTTAGTTCTACAAACTTACTTATTATGATCTCTCCATTTAAGCTACGTATTTCACCTTGATGTGGGGAAGGCTTGTGGTAAGTTTTCAGCTTTGTTAGTATTCCAATGGTTGGCTGCCAATTCAATGAACTTCTTGAAAAAGACAGTTAATTCTTGGAACTTAAAAGTGTTTTGAATTATGCTGATCCTGCTGGGGAACAAGTATTTGGAAATGTTTAAAAGCATATTATTATTTTTTATTTTCCCATATAATCTACTGATATTCTGATAGTTCAAATTTAACTTAAAAACTTGACATTATCTGACATAATGCAGATGTATCAAAAATGAACATACTTGATATATCATATTGTACCTGTCTAGATTATATATATATAAAATTCTCTGATATAAAAGACCATATATAACTTAAGTGTGAAATGCTTACTCATTCTTTTTCATCAACATCTTTACTGAACTTAATACAAATGGGTAAAACTGATATATTAATAACTTTCATGATTTAATCTCCCTATGGAAACATACTAATAGTAGTAATTCAGTTTTCTGTTATTAACTTTCAGTATTTAATTTCTCTATGAAAATATATTAGTAGTAATGCAGTTTTCTGTTATTAGCCTTGTCTAGGAATCTATATGAAATGTACACATACTTTCCTTTTAGAGTATGTTGGATAAAGGACATTGTTGTGGCAGTAACGTCCGAGAACATGGAAGCAATGAACAGTATCATTCAGAAGTACCAGCATAAGCGCATCTCACTCGTTGAAGCTGGAGGGACCCGTCACAGGTCAATTTTCAATGGACTAAAGGCACTGGCAGAGGACCAGCCTGACTCAAAACTGTCTAAACCAGAAGTTGTGATTATCCATGATGCTGTCAGACCATTTGTTGAGGAAGATGTCCTCTTCAAAGTTGTCATAGCTGCTAAGGAACATGGGGTAAGTATTTTTACTTCTGAGTCTGGATAAAGAGGGCAAACACTAATATAATGTGGTTCATTTGCTGAATTTCCATAGAATTGTATTATATTTAAATGTCAAATGGCTTAAAATAGACGTGACCTAAAGATGTTATGGTAGTTTATTTTAGGAACTTTATAGTACTATCCACACAGATTGTGAGACTGCTCTAGAATAGTTCTTTTGCTGTAGTCATTTATCATTATAATGTAGCATGAACCATGTGGAGAAGAATGCAGTAATAATGGCATTAGAATAGAGATACCAATGGAATTGAATGAAAATATGCAATTATATGAAAATGACAAATTGTTCAAGTGTGGGATATAAAATTAAAAAATCTCAATTTTGTGTTTTAAATTTTCAAGTGTTTGATTTTCTAGCACAAACAGCCACACAGATTTTTCACACCCCTTAAAGTGAATCAGCTTGAGATGACAAAGAATTCTGTTTCCACTTCTGTTTCACAAAAATAAGCTATAGGATAGCAAAACACCTATTTTAATCTCTAGAATATATTTATTTTTTTCTTTATTACCAGGTAAAAAAATCTATAAATATAGTAGCAGATACTAAACTTAAGTATGCAGTTTCAATGTGACAAATAGTGAAAGGAAAATACTACACTGTGATGATATAATAGAAGTAGGCTCCAGTCTCAAGTTTGTAATTATCAGTGGTGTAGTGTTTTTAACCTTTTCAACTTCTCAGAGACCATTTTCCGTACTTGTGAAAATATACGTGCTAATACTTTCTAGGTTGTTCTTGGGACTGGAAATTAGAGTGCTAAGGCTTACAAATGGTATTAAGATAAATTTTAAGATCTAAGTGATAGTTTTCCTCCAAGGATTATAGACCAACAGGATAAATAAAGCCTACCTAGCCATCGAGGTGCACAGGAAGTTTGACTTCTTTAATTATTCTTATATATTTGAATCGTCATAGTCAGGGAGAAACTTTCCCTAATTTCTTCTCTTCCTTCTGCAACTTGACTTAATTTTACTTTATCTATAGCATTCTTGCACAGTTTTTAATGTAAAGCATTCTAATTTATTCCTGAATATAAGATCTGACAATGAAGTTTACAAACTCATCCTAGAGAAAGTGCTACTACCTTGTTACTGAGTATCACTATGGTCGCCTTGAAAGTACTTCCCTTGGGAAGCTATGCACTGATGCCAGCACCTAGTCTACCCTTCAGAGCAATTTTGGAACTCTTTTTCTGGGAATGGCCATCAAAGCTGTTGTCGTATTAACTTTGATGTCCTGAATGTTGTCAAATTGTCTTCCTTTCAATATTTCCTCTATCTTTGAGCAAAGAAAAAGTCTTTGGGGGCCAGATCAGGTGAGTAGGGAGGGTGTACCAATATAATTATTTGTTTACTGGCTAAAAATTGCCTCACACACTGCCATGTGTGCTGGTGCATTGTTGATGCAAGAGCCGTGAGTTATTGGCCAAGATTTTCAGTTAAGATTTTCCTGTTTTCTTGACTGATGTTTATACTTGGTCTCTTACACTTCTCACAGTCAGCTCATGATTTTGAGACACAATTGGATGCATTTTTACATGTTTTCATCAGTTCTGCTTATTACTGGCCACTCTGACCTCTCTTCATCAATGGCATATTTCTCTCCTCAGAAAAATGCTTAATCCATTTGTACACTGCCATTTTCTTCATTATCCCCATAAACTTGTACTAACATATCCCTGATTTCATTTTCACTCTTGCCAAGTTTAACAAGAAATGTACAAATGTTTGTTCCTTGCTCTAATTCAAGCTCTGACATTCTCATTGTAGCACACAAAAACACACAACAAATGAGAAACACCGCTCAGCAAGACACCACCACAAGTTGACATGAATACAGCTGTGAGACATGGACATACCAAGGTTATGAAACCTTACAGAGTTATTTGTACAGTGCTGCCAACATAATTGCACAGTGGTACATTTGTGAACTTAATTGTCAGACTTCATGTATCTTCTAACTGGTATTTAAGGTAGTGAAAATTGTGGATCAGGAACCCTTAGTGGCCACAAAACTTTTTCATGGCTCTAGGCTTTGCCAGTGACTCCTTCCTCTTCTCTAGATGGCTCAATTGTGGTAGAAGCAATGTGACAAGTTGCAAGAGTGGTCAGAAGGAATAAAAGAACAAAGGGTTTACAACTTTTAAGAAATTCTCAAATTTTACACATTTGACAAAGTTCCTAGGGATGACTGTATAAATTCCAGGATGTACTACATTACACGCAAAATTTTGCGTATAAATTCCAGGGCATACTACATTATACACAAAATTTTGCGTATGTTACCTGTTGAAAAATTGTCACTCAAGCTCACTATAATAATCACATATTTGGAATTTTTTGTTGTCAAGAACTATACTGGAAAGCATCTTTGAGTGCTTGTCCCTAAAGTGATTCTGTTGGTAGTAGGTCTAAAAAAGGCAAAAGAGGCCTTTTTACTCACTTTAATGCATATGCTAAGGGTAACATTGTTTTGCATATGACTTAATAAAACATATTAAGATATATGGCCATTTTTTTTATAGATTTGTGAGAATTCCTGTTAGACTAGTTAAATTTTTAATTAAGTTTGCTAATCAGGATATAAGTTGTAAGATTTAATCATATTATGCATCTTAAAACAAATTTAAATTTTAATGAAATCTGTGGGAAACTTTCTGATTAAAGAGCTCCTTCAGATTAAGACTTTACAAAAAATTATTTGGAAGTAAACTTTTTGACTTTTTTTTATTTACAAAATTGCCTTGGTTTTGTTGGTGTTAAAGGATTTTTATTTTTCAAGGTTAAAATTAGTTTATACTGATAGCCAAATTGAGAATTTCAGATAGTCACATTAAGCCACATTAAGAGTTTCATACTGATAGCCACATTAAGAATTTTCCTTTATTAGTGAGGGAACCACACAGATGTTACTGTAGGAGGCCAAGCACCAGGCTTATAGAAGCCACCTGCTCTTGAAGAAGGTGCTGAGAACAAGACAATCTCCTAGCCTACCTGGAGAGGTTTTACAGCCTGGAGACAAGCCCTCAGGCAACTGCATACATTAAGGAGATAAGATCCTGTAGCTTGTTAACATGCAAGTGTTATACTTTGTAACATTCCTCGGACAACAGGCTGGAAGTTGAGCCTGGGCAGAAAGAGCAGTTAGCAACCATTAAACATGTGATCCTAGCAAGTGGGCCCACACTTCTGTTGTGGCCTTCAATAAAAGGCCAAGAGAGAGGTTTCTTTGGGCTCTTGGAAGACAGATGGAAAGCCCACCTCTTGCAGACATGTACCTTCAATCTGCATCCTGGCACTTTTTATTTGCTTGGTGACAGGGTGCCCACAGCGGGCACTGACATGTTACCACTGCTCAAAATTGACTCTAGTGAAACACACATTTATATCGAGTGAAAAGGTAAGTTGAATTAAAAAACAAAACTGGCTTTTCTATGGGGAGTTACTTGAACCTTATTAGACAGAATTCATTTGCACATTTGTAGCTAAGAAATTTTTGCATTGCTATCTGTTATTTTGAAAGGTGTAAAAAGCCTCAAAGGCAGGATTCAGCTAATCTGAGAGTCTGTTCTAAGCAGATACCTGTATCAGACACCCAGGAACCTTTTTTGCTTATTCTAAGTTTTCTTTTCTCTCTCTCTCTCTCTCTTTTTTTTTTTTGAGACAGAGTCTGAAGCAGTTGCCCCAAGAAAAGTGCTGTGGTGTCACAGCTCATAGCAACCTCCAACTCTTGGCCTCAAGCGAACCTCTTGACTCAGTTTTTTAATTTTAGTAGAGACAAGGTCTTGCTTTTGCTCAGGCTGGTCTCAAACTCCTGTGCTCAAGCAATTCAATTGCCTTGGCCTCCCAGAGTGCTAGGATTACAGGCGTGAGCCACTGCTCCCAGCTCATTCTAAGTTTTCTTAAACCACAATTGGGGTACTGCCCTAGTAGCCTCAATTAAATCTAGGCACTACTTCCTGCTTTCTCATACCATTCTGATTTGTAATCATAAAAATAAATGGAATTGAGGCTTATGCTGTAGTTGCACTTCAGTTGGTGGGAAATATGACATCTTTTAAACTTGGCATCAGTAAACTGTAAGAGTGATCTTGAATCAAATTCTACCCTATGACATGAAAATTCCATTGACTTTAGTTGTAGTCACTTCACAGTTTGTTTTTCAGGCCTCCTTTTGATTTATTCTCTTTTGTTCTCTTACACAGTTATCTACAGACTCTTTACCTGATTCTCATTTTTCTTCTTAGCTCTCAGTTTTCAAATTCTACCCAAAGGTCCTTTTCAGATGCATCATTTCCTGAACAAGTTAATTCTCTGAGTGTTTCAGAAGGATATGTGTGTGGGGTGGGGGAGTATATATGTTCACATTAACTATATATATATTATCATATATATGTTCTATATATAACTCATCTATAACTCATATATAAGTTCTATTTTGGTTAATAAAAAATAAATTGAAGCTACATTGCCTTGAGATTAAGATTTCCAAAGTTAAGACTGGAATTAAAGTTGCCTATACATAAAAGCTCAAAATTGTCACTAGGACCCAGTTTTTCTCTCTTTGTTGCACATATTATATTCTGAGAGTCTATAAGGAGACACGATGGCTTCCATATGGCTAATAGCAAAATTCTTTCAGGTTATTTTTCCCTTACCTATTGATGGTGATTTGGCTAGATATAAAATTCTAAGTCTACAGTTTTTTTTTTTTTTTTTTTTTAAAGACAGAGCCTCAGGCTGTCCCCTTGGGTAGGGTGCTGTGGCATCACAGCTCACAGCAACCTCCAACCCTTGGGCTCAAGTGAGTCTCCTGCCTCTGCCTCCCAAGTAGCTGGGACCACAGGCACCCACCACAACACCTGGCTATTTTTTTTTGGTTGCAGTCATCATTATTGTTTGGTGGACCTGGGCTAGATTTGAACCTGCCACCTTAGGTGTATGTGGTGG